TATAATCATTTGTCGAGCACTTACCCGGTGTTGTGTTGACTGCCCATGATTTCATACCCTCAGTGGTCCTTTGATGTAGGAGATAATGTTCTCCCCCACATAACATAAATGAGGAAAATGAGGAACCAGAGAAGCACAAGGACACACAGAGCACTCAGACATAAGCAGCCCTTGTGGTGGTGTAGGGACAGGTTTGGAGTGTGAGGGATTTTAGCGAGGATGGTTCTTCCTACTTTCCCTATATGCCAGTCCACGGAGTGTCAAGGGTGGAGAAGATGGTCTCTTCTGGCTGTGATACAGGCAACTGGTGCTGTACGTTCACTCATTCTGTAAAAATGAATGCCGTTCAGTTGTAACTCTATTGAAACTCCATGTCTCCTTTTTATGATAAAAACTCTTTATTTTTTAAATGATTTTATTTATTTATTTACCAGAGAGAGTAAGAGAGAGCACAAGCAGGGGGAGCGGCATGCACAGGGAGAAGCAGGTCCCCTCACCGCTTAGCAGGGACCCCATGCGGGACTTGATCCTGAGACCCTGGGATCATGACTTGAGCAAAGGCAGACACTTAACCAACTAAGCCACTCTGGCACCCCAATAAATACTCTTTAGACTATTTTTCTATCCTGGAATAAAATTCAAAGCCAATAGAACCTATCTGCACATTTAAGTTAAAAAAATATCAACATGACTCTCTATCTGTACTACAAAGGAAAAGCACAGGGGCACCTGGGTGGCTCACTGGGTTAAAGCCTCTGCCTTTGGCTCAGGTCATGATTCCAGTGTCCTGGAATCGAGCCCCTCATCAGGCTCTCTGTTCAGCAGGGAGCCTGCTTCCCTTCCTCTCTCTCTGACTACCTCTCTGCCGACTTGTGATCTCTGTCTGTGAAATAAATAAATAAAATCTTAAAAAAACAAAAACAAAAACAAAGGAGAAGCACAAAGAAAGTAACTTATAATAAAATAAAGTATATTTCAGTATGTCAATTCCTGGGCATGACTCCATCAGAAAATCACTGTCAAACAGCATATTTGCTTCTCATCACCAAATCACTATGAATGGGGCAGCTACAGATGAAGATCGATACAGGTGCCTTCTGCTGGCAACTTAAATGCTAGGGTACTCTAAGCTGTGTTGACATTGATGACATAATTTTCTAAGACAGTGAATAACTCTGGTAAAACAAAACACAGAGCATGGCCCTCCTTTTCACAATATTTGCAGTCCTGAAAAAGCTGGTCTATATTAAAAACTTGCTCGGATATGGTGGGTCCATATGTAAGATGGAGTTTGGTTTAGATTTAGGAAATCATAGAGAGGTCTTTCATTGACTTTTTCAGCAAATATTTTTTATGGGGCTGCCACATTTCTGGCACCGGCCTCACTGCTGGGGACAGAGACCTTAACACTTGCTGAGAAGAAAGTTACTCAACACAAATTACTACATAGGTCGTGTCCTTCTTCCTTTGCTCAAAATGTCACCCTCCAAAAAAAAAAAAAGTCATTCTCCGGTGAGACTTACACACAATCACCTTATTTAAAATTTCAAGTTATCCCATACCCCACTTTCCCAATCCCTGCTGTAATCTTCTCCATATAATTGATCAGATCCTGACGCCATATTTTTTCTCTTTTAGTTTCTTATTGTCTGTCCCCACTGATCAAGATGTAAGTTCCATGAACATATATTTCTGTCTGTTTTGTTCTCTATCATATTCTCAGCATCTAGAATAGTGACTGGAATAGAAATAGGTACTCAGTAATTATTTTTTAACGAATCTGTCAAAGAACTTTCTATGAAGTGTGAAGGGCTGCATCAATGATGGCTATTGTCCCCCAACATGGGGTTTCTCTCCGGCTCCCATGACCCCTGATCAGCCCTATTGTGACTGAATCTCCCCCAGGATGAGAGTTCCGGAGGTCAAGGACAAAAGGGTCCTCACAGTAAACTTTTCTAAGACAACCCATCTGAGGCAGGAGAGCAAGAACCAAATGCGGAGAGGCTGGAGGTGGCAGAAGGTTGTGTGTGTATGGGGGGGCGGGTGGGCACTTAGTCGGTGTCTTCCCCACACAGTGCACTCCCTGGAAGGAGAAGGCCTGCTGCTCAGTCAGCACCAGCCAGGAGCTGCACAAGGACACCTCCCTCCTGTACAACTTCACCTGGGAGCACTGTGGCAAGATGGAGCCCGCCTGCAAGCGTCACTTTATCCAGGACAACTGTCTCTATGAGTGCTCCCCCAACCTAGGGCCCTGGATCCAGGAGGTATGGGACCCTGCCTCTCCCCATCCCACCCCTGCAGCTGCCATCCAGCTCCATCAGGATTGTGGCAGGTGATGTCCCATCCCATCTGCATGTCCCATCCGCTGAGCACTGAGTGAGCCCTCCCTCCTCACCTCCCACCAGGTGAACCAGAGCTGGCGCAAGGAGCGCTTCCTGCACGTGCCCCTGTGCAAAGAGGACTGCCAGCAATGGTGGGAGGACTGTCGCACCTCCTACACCTGCAAGAACAACTGGCAACGGGGCTGGGACTGGACCTCAGGTGTGTGGGGTGGCGGGTGGGGACGGAGGTGGGGTTTGAGGATCTGGGGTGGCCAGAAACCAGCTTCAGGCCCAGGGGTTGAATGTCTGCGTCCACCCTCTCTCCGCCTACAGGAATTAACAAGTGTCCAGCCGGGACCACCTGCCGCACCTTTGAGACCTACTTTCCCACGCCCGCAGCCCTGTGTGAGGGCCTCTGGAGTCACTCCTACCAGGCCAGCAACTACAGCCGAGGGAGTGGCCGCTGCATCCAGATGTGGTTCAACCCGGCCCAGGGCAACCCCAATGAGGAGGTGGCGAGGTTCTATGCCATGGCCCTGAATGCTGGGGCCCTGCCCCGAGGGGTGGAGCCTCTCCTGCTCAGCCTGGCCCTGATGCTGCAGCTCGGGCTCCTGGGCTGAGTCTAGCCCTACCCAGACATCATGTCTGCATGTCCTGAGTTTCGATGACCAAGGTGGGCTCACAAAAGGAGGAACCCTAAGTGTGCTTCCATCCATTATCTATCCTTCAGTCATCCCATTCCTGCTCCATGGTGGGCCTTGGGGTTTGTCTGGCAGTCAGCTCAAATAAAAAGACTGACACATCCGTGTCAGATGAATTATTTTTGTTCGAGTGGGTAGATGACAGATTCCACAGTTTCTGGATTCCTTCAGATCAGAGAAATGAGACTTGGGTGTGAATCCCAGCTCTGCTACTGACTATGCCAAAGTGAAGCAGTTGCCTGTCTAGGCTAACGCTTAGTTTCCTCCTCAATAAAATGGGGATATCCGACCTTTCCCTCTGAGTTGTGAAACACAAAGAAGCTGTTGCCTGGAGAGCACGTGACAGCATGTGAGCGCAGTGTCTCACTTCAGTAGCCCTCAGGGACTCCGTTGTAGCCACAAACAAGAGCCGGGTCCAGGACTTTGTTACTTATATTGGTCCCCAAATAGCCCCCCTTTTTCCCAGGCCCTGTCTGCCTGGCTCTGTGCTCAGCTCTGCAATGGGAAAGCTGGGGATGGGAGTCCAGGCTCTGGATTCCCAGTGGGGGTGAAAAAAGTTCACCCATGATGTGGACTGAAGGGACAGAGTTGAGGCTTGGACCCTCAGAGGAGGAAGACAGAAGACGGTCTGGGAGGTTCCTGGAAGAGGAAATGCTCAAGAGCCTTCAATTGGTTTAGCTTGGATGGAAAAAGGTTGGAAACTCTCAGGGGCATCCTAGGGGCAGGAGCCTGGCCTCTCTTCTGGCAACTTTGTCCCCTCCAGGGATTGCCAGATATGCCTATCCTGTCTTTGCCCAGCTCCCAGGAACTGGGCCTGAGTTGATCTCTAGGTCTCCCTCTTGCCCTTTTCGCCTGGGGAAGTTTTGTCTCTACACTCCACTCACAGTTATCCTCAGAGAGGCACAGGGCAGTGTCTGAGAACACCAGGCAGCCCTAGAACCCTGGAGTGAAGACTCCTAATCCAGGCCCTCCCCTGCCCGTCGCAGGAAGGTGCGCCTTTCATGGCATTCACCTTCCCCCATATCTAGAGCTGAGTGACGGGGAAGTCGGGCCGTTTGTGCAGGATGGTTTACGGAGTTCCTGGAGGGGTCTGGAGACACTGGGATGTACGGGGCTGTCTGTTAGGTACTATATTTACCTAGTCTGGAAGGCCCCCACAGACCCCATTCTGTGTCCCAGGCTTTGTCCCAGCTGGGTCAAGCCAACGCATATTTGAAATAGAGGAAGGAGCTTGTCGGGACTGACCGAGATACAGGTTCACTCGAGCAAAGTGAAAGTTCTCTCCCAGGTTAAAGGGGATCTGCTGACGGCGGCGGGGGAGCTGGGCGCGGCGGGAGCCGGGCTGGAAGCCTGCGCCTTTAAGGAGCCAAGGCGCGGAGGGGCGGGGCAGGAAGCGGACTCCCGGGAGACGCTGCCACCGGCTAGGTCTTTTTTGGGGGGAAGGGGAGGGCCAGACCTCTGTGGGTCCGCCCCCTTTCCGGCGACCGGGTACCCCTCCCACCCTGGGCGCCCGGGGGCGTCCGAGCGTACAGGCTCTGGGGAGCTCCCGGGTCGGCGTCCCGCCCACAAAGGCTCAAGTTTGTCGTCTTGGAGGGAGTAGCTTGGGCGGGGGCGGGTGCTAATAATACCCGTTCGTTCTGGCGCCGCGCTTTACAGTTTACACAGCTGTCACCTTCGATACTCCTTAATTAATAATAAAAATAGCCGCTGTTCTGGAGGTTTACTGGATGCCAGGCCCTGTGCCGAGAGCTTTACAAGCACGGTCCCATTAAGTCGGCCCTCATAACATTGCTCTCACTTTGCAGAGCGGGAAGACGAGGCGCGGAGGGGTGCGGTGACTTGCCCGAGGTCACTCGGCGGGTCAGCGGCCCCGGGATCAAGACGGGGAGCCGGGGAAGGCGAAGCGCGGGTGCTACCCTCGGCTCGGCGGAGAGCCGCGGGGGCGGAGCGGCGGGCGGGGCGGAAGGCGAGGGGGGGTGCGGCGGCGGAGGATGGCCATCTTAAGTGGCCGCTGAGAGTCAAGGGCCGCTTCCCCCGGGAAGGGGGCATCGGAGCGGCGCAGGAGGTGGGGGTCTGCGCGCGGGCGGCTGCGGCTCTGGGGAGAAGTCAGGAGCCCAGGGGTTTGAGGGAACTTTCTTCTAGAAGGGCAGTGGCGGAGGGGGGCGCCTGATCTCGGACTGCTGAACCCCTTAAGGCCCGGGCCTGCGGGTATGGGGGATGGTGCCAGGGAACTTGGCCGGGAGGGGGGAAGGGCTCTGCCCGGGTTGCGAGGGGCTGCCAGGGACAGTGCGTGGGGATTCGGGATCACTGGACCTTGTCTGAGGGTTTGTGGGAGATCAGGTTTCTATGGAGGGGATTTTCCCCCGCGGGATTTGTCAGGGACTGGACCCAGTGGAGTCTGGGGGTTCGGGTCTAAGAGGGGCCTGGGTTTCATGGGAGTTGAGAGTCTGGGCCGGCCGGATAATGAGGATAGGGAAGAGGTTCTTCTTGGATCCCTCGCGGGTTTTGAGACTCGACCCGACTCCCTGAGGCTGCAAGGGAGGTGAATGGAAAAGATCTGGGGTGGAATTAGACGTTTATGGGAATTGGGGATCATATCGTTGAGATTGTTGGAGGGGGCTAACTCTCTGGACTGGGGCCCGGGGTCCCAAAATGTCCAGGAGAAGGCGGGGGGGAACTTGACCTTCGTTGGTGGGGGGGGGGGGGGGGGGGGGGGGGGTCCCAGGGGGGGTGGTGGCGGGGCAGGATCATTGTGGGTTTGGGGGGTCCCGCGTCCGGCGGGAACGCGGAGCCCATCATCCCCACTGGGAAGAGAGTGGGGGTAGGGACGGTGGGGCCGTGGGCCGAGCGGAGGGGGAGGGGGCCGGCCGCCCCGCTCTGCGCTGCGCTCCTGCCCCTCCCCCGCCGCCTCTGAACAAACTTTTCTTTCTCTTCAAGTTGAGGCCGGCGCTGCAGGCGGCAGCGGCGGCGGCGGTGCGGCGAAAGAGGCGGCCTGCGCGCCGGACCGCGGAGCCCCCGACCCCCGGCCTGGTCCGGTCCGTGGATCCTCAGGCTCTGGCCCCGGGCCCGGCCCCAGCCTCGGCCCCGAGCTTCCCGGGGCGGATGGCGCGGGGCGGTGGGCGCCGGCGGCGCTGAGCCCTGCGCGCGCTATGGCCTTGGCATGCGGGGCGCCGGGCCCGGGGGGTGCGGGGCCGGGGAGCGCGCTGGGCAGCCCGGCCCCCGCCTGGTACCACCGCGACCTGAGCCGCGCTGCCGCCGAGGAGCTGCTGGCCCGGGCAGGCCGCGATGGCAGCTTCCTGGTCCGAGACAGCGAGAGCGTGGCGGGAGCCTTCGCGCTCTGCGTCCTGTGAGTGGGGCTGGGGCTCCCGGCGGGAGGGGGCGCGGCCCCAGGTTCCTTGCCTGTGTGCGGAGGGCCTGGGACAGTGGGATGCCAGCGCCCCCAACAGTGGGGGCTTTGGCTTTAAGCCGGGGCTGAGGAAGGATGCCGGGGCACTTCCTTCCTGCTGTGTGTCTGGGGATACTTTCTGGGGCGTGGAGGGCTGGGTATGTGGGGTCCCGCTAGCCAGGGTGGCTGTAATGGGGGAAAATCTGAGGAGTTCCTGGCAGACCCTCTCAGGCACCCTTCAGGCAGAAGGGGCGGGAGGGGTGAGGATGTGTGGATGTGCATTCCAGGGTTGTGTGTAGTTCTGTTTATACAGGGATTGGGTGTCTGAGTAGTAGGCATTAGAGGTTGCAGGGCCAGAAAAACCAATGGGTGTGTGAGGATGCCCAACAGCTTCCTTAGGGGTCCTTTCTATGCCCCCAAGACTGAGGTTGGGACTGGGGAGTAGATGCCTGGGGCTGGGGAGGCAGAGTGGTGCTGAGAAGGGGTGGGGGGAGCGAGGCTATATAGGGCCATGCCATTATTTCATAAGTCAATGAGCATGGGCATGTGCCCTGGTCCTGGGTATCCTGGCCCCCTTGGCCCTGAGCTATGAGTGCTGGTTGTGGGGCTAGACTTGGCAGCTCTCTGACTGAGTCTGGTCCTGTGCCTGTACCCATCAGTGGTTCTGGGTGAGTTTGGTGGGTTTGGAGTCCTCTCCCTGAGCTGTCTCCTGTGCCCCATTGTCTGATACTATGTGGACTCCTGTGGGCCTTAGGCTCTGATTACATTCCCCCTGAGCCCTGTGAACCCTCCTAAATCCCTTTATGTCCTTTATGCTTCTGTTCTCTTCACTTCTTTGTGGGTGTATTGGTCTAGGTCAGTAGTTCTCATTCGGGGTTGATTTTACCCGTCAGGGACATTGGGCAGTGTTTGGAGACATTTTTGGCTGTCACACTGGGGTAGTGCTGCTGGCATCAAGTAGGTGAAAGCCAGTAGCGATGCTTCGCAGCATCTCGCAGTGCATGGGACAGGCCCTCACAGAACAATGCAGGCCAGAATGTGAGGACTGCTGGGGTCGAGAAGCTTGAAGAGGAATGGGTCCCCTGAGTCTCAGCTTGTGCTCCAAGTCTGACATCCAGGAGAGACTACCAAAGGACTATATCCTAGAGTCACAGCCCCCTCAGGGCATACCCCCGATGGGGCAGGGGAGGCAGGTGCTGGGTCAGCTGTTGAGTAGGAGGGGGACAGCTGGGCCTGTGTCTGGGGAGGAACATTATTGTCCCAGGAGGGGAGAGCCCTGGCTCCACTGCCAGGGGAGGAGATGGGTGGAGTGAGGGTCTTTTTGTGTCGGGGGCTTCAGCTTTGCCAGCTGACTTTGGCTACTCCTTGAATCTCAAGAGCCCGGGGATGGGTGTGGGGCGGGGGGAGTCAGAATTGGGATAAAAACTTGGGGGAAGGTGATAAGAAACATACTTGCTTACCTGTGTACATACCCACACGTCCATGGGAGGCATTTCAGGACACACTCCTGCTCTCACAGGCACTGGCCTCTGCCAGTGGCTTTAAGTCCCAGCTCTGCCTTTTACTTACTCTGTGACAGTAGTCAAATTGCTTTTCCTCTCTGAGCCTATTTCCTCTTCTGGAGAGTGGGGAGGGCACGAATATCTGTATCAAAAGGGAGGATTAAGTGAGATCACATCTGTAGGGTGTCCTACAGGCATGGCTCAGTTAATGGGATGTTATTATTCTTATAAATACAGTCCATAAAGCAGTACCCACACAGACACCTGCAGAGAACGGGGGCCCGTCAGCATCCATGAGAGCTCCGGGAGGGGACTTACTTGAGTGGAGGGGATGGACTGTGGCCAAGGTGTAGGGTCCCTTCAAATGGATATTTGGTCCTCTCTGGTGCCCAGCACACACATGGGCCCCGGGGGACACCCTTGAGCAAGCTGACCTGATGTATGGCTGCAGACGGAGTCTTCCATTCCCCACTGAGTGTGGCCCACGCTGCCCAGGCCTGGCAGCTGTCACCTGCTCAGCTGTTGCTGCCATCTGTCAGCACCCCTCTTGCCCCTCCTCAGTTTGGGGCTCTTAGAGGCCTGGGTCTCCCATAGGGGGCCCCCTTGGGGCACCCCAGTTTCCTGGCATCTGGGGCAGCAGGGAGAAAGCTGGGATACCCGCATACTTCCTAGCCAAAAGGCCCCCGCCATCCTCAGCTCCAGTAGAGCCAGACACCAGCGTAAACACAGACAGCAGGCACACACGTGTGTGAGCACATCTCCTGTGTGTGCAAACAGAGGTGAACCAGGCTTCTGAGGACTCGTACTCTGGCGGGGGGCCAGAGCTGGTACCACAGCCCAGAGGGGCTGTTTAGACAGCTGTGGAGGCCACAAAGGAGCTGCCTGTTGCTTCCCGGGCCCTGTGGTGGGTGTGGAGCCTATGTAGGTCTGGGTGGCGGAGTGGCTGGGGGTGGCACGGAGAGGGGAGTAGAGGGGGGAGGCTGGTCATTCCTGCTCTTGTTGGCAACACTAGCAGGATAGACGTGGACTGGCCTCCTCATTAACCCTGTGCATTCTGAGCAAAGGGTTTTAGGAAGACCAAGCTGAGGGACCTGAGGGCCGATCCCGGTACCCAGAGGAAGGCATGCCTTGGGGCTCAGACCTCACCCAGGGGGGCGACAGATTCTGACCCTTGCTTTGTCATCAGGTATCAGAAGCACGTGCATACATATCGGATTCTACCTGACGGAGAAGACTTCTTGGCCGTGCAGGTAGGAGCCTGGACCCTGAGCCCGACCTTGATTCCCTCTTGTGACTTGGGATCAGCTGGCTGACCCTTCTTCCACTCTTGCTGGTTCTCAGACCTCGCAGGGTGTGCCCGTGCGCCGTTTCCAGACCCTGGGTGAGCTCATCGGCCTGTATGCCCAGCCTAATCAGGGCCTCGTGTGTGCCCTGCTGCTGCCTGTGGAGAGGGAGCGAGAACCAGACCCACCTGACGACCGTGATGTTTCAGGTGCTGCCCGCTTTGCTGTGTGCACATGCCTTCTCTGCCCCTTCCCCGGACACCACCTGCTGTTTCCCCTCCTGTCTTCTCAACCTGTGTCCCCTGAAGTCCCCTGCTCCTAACCATGATGCCAGGGCCCTTTACCCCACTTTCCAGGGAAGTATCTGAGAGCCGCAGCATCCCCCCATACTTCCCTGAGGAAGGGAGGCCCACTGACTCCTGTCCACAGATGGTGAGGATGAGAAGCCCCCACTGCCCCCGCGTTCTGGCTCCACCAGTATGTCTGCCTCTGTGGGGCCTGGCAGCCCACCAGCAGCCCTTGAGACTCCCACAACTGCAGCTGCTGAGAGGTAAGACCACAGCCTCCTACATGGAGCAGGACTCCCCTTTCTCCTCTGAGAGTGGTGTCCTCATCAAAGGGGGAGAGACCTAAGCCCCCACTCCACCCCTGGGGATCTTCAGCCCATCTCAGCCCCAGAGGCAGACACCCTGATCCACGGGGCTCGGATCACTACCAGCACCATCTCCTCCGGGGATCAAGCTGGAGTGGTGGGATGCTGTCAGCAGGTTCTTCACTGACTTCTTAACCCCTCCCTGAAGTGCTCCCAATGGGCTGAGCACTGTTTCGCATGAGTACCTGAAGGGTAGCTACGGACTGGACCTGGAGGCTGTGCGAGGCGGAGCCAGCAACCTGCCCCACCTTACCCGCACCCTTGCCACCTCCTGCCGGAGGCTGCACAGGTACCCCTCCCCACAACAAGCACACGGCCTTTCCTCTGACTTGTCCTCCCCTGCTCCCTGGTTGCACAAATGTCTGATACCTCTGATCTGTGGCCCTGAACAGGGATCCAGCTGTTGTTTCCTCACTTTTCCTCACCCGAACCCTTGTATCCTTATGGTGGAGGCTGGAGCAACACACTCAGCCCCCTTTCCCCGTACTTGGTTGGGGTGGCGACTTCTGACCAGTTGTCTCCCTTAGTGAGGTGGACAAGGTCCTGTCGGGCCTGGAGATCCTGTCCAAGGTGTTTGACCAGCAGAGCTCTCCCATGGTGACCCGCCTTTTGCAGCAGCAGGTGGGAGTACGGGGAGGCCTGTGAGGAAGGGCTTCACATCTGGGTCTGGGCGGGGGACCTCCTGCTTGCTGGCCTCATGTACAAGCCTCATTCTTTCTCTGTGCAGAACCCGCCGCAGACTGGGGAGCAAGAACTCGAGAGCCTGGTGCTGAAGCTGTCAGTGTTAAAGGACTTCCTGTCAGGCATCCAGAAGAAGGTAGCCTGACTCCTGACCTCTGACCTGACCTACCAGTCCCTGAGTGTGTGTACTGGCCTAACTGATCTCAGCCCTGAATCTGTGGTTTTGCACTGATCCCATCTGCTATTTCCCTCATGGCCCCTGCTCTCCGCATGTCTCCTGACCTTGGCTGCCCTTCCCTGCTCCAGGCCCTGAAGGCCCTGCAGGACATGAGCTCCACGGCCCCGCCAGCTCCACTGCAGCCATCCATACGTAAGGCCAAGACCATCCCTGTGCAGGCCTTCGAGGTACAGAGGGGTATCGGGAGGGGCCTCGTGGGGCACAGGGCTGTTGGAGGTGAAGGGGGCGTCCCCTCTCCAAGGTCTTTTCAGCAGCCCCCCACCTCATGACCTGCAGGTGAAGCTGGACGTGACCCTGGGCGACCTGACCAAGATCGGGAAGTCACAGAAGTTCACGCTGAGCGTGGATGTGGAGGGCGGGCGGCTAGTGCTGCTGCGGAGACAGCGGGACTCGCAGGAGGACTGGACCACCTTCACACATGACCGCAGTGAGCCAGGGCCTGACCTGGGGTTGTAGGTGGGGCAGCCTCCCAGCCTCCGCGCCCGGGCCAGTGAGACTGTCCTCCGTTCCCTAGTCCGCCAGCTCATTAAGTCCCAGCGCGTCCAGAACAAGCTGGGTGTCGTGTTTGAGAAGGAGAAGGATCGGACACAGCGCAAGGATTTCATCTTTGTCAGTGCCCGGGTGAGCAGCAAGCTGGGCGAGGCCCCAGGGGCTGCAGGGGTCCCTGGGGGGTGGGAAGAGAAGAGACATGTGATGTAGGTGGGTCACCCCTCCTGGCAGGGGTGGTGGTGGGGGGCGTCTGACAGGGCAGAGAGCATCTGTGTTGAGAATGGGTGGCCTGAGGGTGGAGTCAAAGGTCCATTCAGTGAATGTTGATTGAGCACCTGTGATAGGCTTGAGTGGTGGGCCAGACAGGCATGACCCTCCCCTCGTGGGACCTGCCACCTACCAGGGACCTCTCCTCACTGGCTGTTGTCCCCCCAGAAGCGGGAGGCCTTCTGCCAGCTACTACAGCTCATGAAGAACAAACACTCCAAACAAGATGAGCCTGACATGATCTCTGTCTTCATCGGCACCTGGAACATGGGTCAGGCCCGGGTTGGGGCTGGGGGGTGGAGGAGAGGACCAGCCCCAGGGCAGAGGCCTGATCCCCCCTACCCCCCGCTATCACCTCCAGGAAGCGTGCCACCTCCAAAGAATGTGACGTCTTGGTTCACATCAAAGGGTCTGGGGAAGACCCTGGATGAGGTCACAGTGACCATACCCCATGACATCTATGTCTTTGGGACCCAGGAAAACTCAGTGGGCGACCGCGAGTGGCTGGACCTGCTACGCGGGGGCCTCAAGGAGCTCACAGATCTGGATTACCGCCCGGTGAGGGGGGTCATCTTGTCCAGTCCCTCCTTAGGCCCCCCCAGACCATCCTGTTTGACCTATGGGCAACCCTGGGGAGCACTATTTGACTGGCTTTCCCTCTGGTCCCCGGGCAAATCCTTTAGGAGATCTAACAAGTCCTTCGTGCTATGGGAACATGCTGTTTCTCTCTGGCCCCTCAGGGAAAAAGGGTAGCAGACCTTTCTGTCCTGTGACTAACAGTACAGTCTATAGTACAGGCAGGGGTGGTGGGGGAGTGTGGACAGTGCCCCCGCCTAGGGCAGAGGTGACTCTGAACCCTCTACCCAGATTGCTATGCAGTCACTGTGGAACATCAAGGTAGCTGTTCTGGTCAAGCCAGAGCACGAGAACCGAATCAGCCACGTCAGTACGTCCAGCGTGAAGACTGGCATTGCCAACACCCTGGGTGAGTAGGGTAGGCAGGGTCTCTCTGTCCACACCTCCTGCTGTGATCTCCAGGGGCTGTGTTCACACATGCGGAGACTCGGGCTGTCCACATGGACTGCATGTGCCCTGTGTGGCCCCCTGGGGATGGGGGTTGCATTCAGAGGCCTACCTGCCTCATAGCCTGGGGGGCAGGGGAAGTGGGAGTGGGAGGATCCTCCCACCACCCCTTCGAGGTGCAGAGGGGAGAGTTGGGAGCTTTCCAAAGGTGACGCAGGCCTTCCTCTCTTGCTTGCCCTGACAGGAAACAAGGGAGCTGTGGGAGTCTCCTTCATGTTCAATGGCACCTCATTTGGCTTTGTGAATTGCCACCTCACCTCGGGAAATGAGAAAACCGCCCGGTGAGGGGGCGCCTTTCCAAGTCTTTACCCTAACTCCCTATTCCTGAGCCCTCTCCCTTCTCCCATATCCCAGTCCATTACCCTCCTTCATCCTTGTCCCCGGAGACCGCCTTCTCCCTTGTCCCGACCCGACTCCTCTACTTCTATCTTGTTCCCAGCTCTTTCCTCTGTCCCCAGGGACCCTGATCCACACCCCATCCCTGACGCCAGAGACTTCTGACCTTGTCTCTGGCTCCTGACCCTGCCCCCACTCCCCCATAGGCGGAACCAGAACTACCTGGACATCCTGCGGCTGCTCTCGCTGGGCGACCGGCAGCTCAGTGCCTTTGACATCTCTCTGCGTTTCACTCACCTCTTCTGGTTTGGGGACCTCAACTACCGCCTGGACATGGATATCCAGGTGCGAACGGGGCTGCTGGGTGGCTGGGAGGGAAGCTGAGCTGGGGGCCAGTGGGGCTTCCACCTCTGGCTCTGGTTCGGGCTCAAGAGGGAGTAGCCGCCCTTATGTCTTCACTGCAGGAGATCCTGAACTACATCAGCAGGAAAGAGTTTGAGCCCCTGCTCAGGGTGGACCAGCTTAACTTGGAACGCGAAAAGCACAAGGTCTTCCTTCGATTCAGTGAGTGTGAGCCCAGCAGGTCTCCAGGGCTGGGACCTTTATGATACCCCTGGGTCTGCAGGGCCCTGACCCCCACTTGTTCCCCGCCTTCCCTAGGTGAGGAAGAGATCTCCTTCCCACCCACCTACCGCTATGAGCGGGGCTCCCGGGACACGTATGCCTGGCACAAGCAGAAGCCAACTGGGGTGAGCGGAGGGAACGGGCAGCGGGGCCCTTGGGAGAGTCCTCTGGGCTGCATCGAATCAAGAGTGCGTGTCTGGTTGAGGTCTGGGCAGTTACTACTCCAGCTTCAGTGGCCCCTCTAAGGCCTTGGGGGTGGGTGATACTGGGTGTTGTGAGGACCCTGGAAGGGAGGCGGGTACCAGGGCCTGGGGTGGTGGGAGTGCTGGGCCTTACCAGCATTCAGCTCTGTGGCAGGGCTCATGACAAGCAGCCCTGGCTGTTGGCCCTGACCATGCTGACATCCCCTGCCCCAGGTCCGGACCAATGTGCCTTCGTGGTGTGACCGGATTCTCTGGAAGTCCTACCCTGAGACCCACATCATCTGCAATTCCTACGGTCAGAGTCTCCGGGGCAGGGTGATGGGCAGTCCTGGGTGGTCACAGTCCTGATTTTGCCCTAGCTTTGGGAAGTGGTAGCAGAGAGTAAAGAGCTTGCCCCTGAGCTCCCATTCCTATCCCAGGTTGCACTGATGACATCGTCACCAGTGACCACTCCCCCGTGTTTGGGACATTTGAGGTTGGAGTTACCTCTCAGTTCATCTCCAAGAAAGGTGACTGTTCTGGATGTGCTTGTGGTGGAGGGGGAAGGGGGGCACAGGGGGTGGCCTGGGGATGTGCTGAGGTTTGACTGTATCTGTGTGTGTATGTTTGGGTGTGTACACGTATGTGCAAGACTGTTTCTGAGTAAGTACTGTGTGAGACTGTGTGTATGCCTGGGGCACCGTGAAAGGTGTGTGCCTGTGAGTGTGTGTATATCTGGGAATATAAGCACACACACATACTGGTATTTGGTTGGAGCCAAGTGTGTACCCCTGAGTGTGCCTGGTAGTGTGGGGGGTTGTTGGCCGGCAATCCCTGCAGGCATTCTGGTCCCCCAACCCCCTTGTTAGATGGTCTCTCATCCTTGGGTTGTCTGTTTGCCTGGTCCAGGGCCTGGACTTTGGGGTCTCTGCATTGGTTGCTTGGGATTGGGGAGGTCCCTCCTGGATGTCCCTCCTCCCCTGCCAGGGCCCCTAATTTCCTGTTCCAGGGCTCAGTGTCTGTCCTGTTCCTCCTGCCACCCTCTCAGCCCTCCTGACTGCCTGCCTCCCTTTGGCCCTCAGGGCTCTCAAAGACTTCGGACCAGGCCTACATTGAGTTTGAGAGCATCGAGGCCATTGTGAAGACAGCTAGCCGCACCAAGTTCTTCATTGAGTTCTACTCCACCTGCCTGGAGGGTCAGAGGCAGGCCCAGGGTGTGGCCAGGAGGGATGGGGAGCCCAAAGTGCCCAGAGTGGTCAGCCCCCTGGATAGGGGGAAAGGAAGCCAGGTGGTGGCACTCAGTTGGGTATCCCCCACCCTCTCCCCAGAGTACAAGAAGAGCTTCGAGAATGATGCCCAGAGCAGTGACAACATCAACTTCCTCAAGGTGCAGTGGTCTTCACGCCAGCTGCCCACGGTGAGGCTTTTGGCAGGGCCTGAGCCTACAAGTGAGGGCACGGGGAGAGGTGGGCCGAGTGCATATGGTTCATGCGTGTGCAATTGTGTGTGTGTGTGTGTGTGTGTGTGTGGTGGGGCTGGGCATGAGAAAGAGTGAAGGCCTTTGCTTTATTGGGCGGGGGCGGGTGGGACCAAGTTGCAGGTTCATTCATCCATTCATAAATACTTTTTGAGCCTTTGCTAAATGTCAGGTTCTCTCTTGGCCATTGAGGATGTAGAAAATGAATGACAATGGCTGTTAACTGTTATGAGAGGCCCATGCGGGGCCATGTCTTCTCTATTAAGGATTTGGGATCTTAAGTGAGAGTAAGCATGGACCAGTCTGAGGGTAGGGGTGAGTGGTGTCAGGAAAAGGAGGGGGTGGTGGAGGCTTTGTTCCTCACTGGGCCTCTCTGCTCCCCAGCTCAAGCCAATTCTGGCTGATATTGAGTACCTGCAGGACCAGCACCTCCTGCTCACGGTCAAGTCCATGGATGGCTACGAATCCTATGGTGAGGGCGGGGAGGGGTGCCAAGGGACACAGAAAGCCAAGCAGAGCTCCAGGAAGGTTTGGCAATCTGCTGGTCTGCCCCAATCTTCCCTTCAGGGGAGTGTGTGGTGGCACTCAAGTCCATGATTGGCAGCACAGCCCAGCAGTTCCTGACCTTCCTGTCCCACCGCGGCGAGGAGACAGGCAACATCCGTGGTTCCATGAAGGTGCGGGTGCCCACAGAGCGCCTGGGCACCCGTGAGCGACTCTACGGTGGGGTCCCCATTGGGAGGGATATGGGGCATAAGATGGGGTGGGCACGTCTAGGAGGGGTAGACCAGGGGTGTGGGCAGGACTTGTTAGAACCCCTGGAATATCTGGAAGTTATGCAGCCATGGCTAGAGGTGGGCCTGCACTGAGAGTAGCTGGAAGCGGCCTACAGTCCAGGACGCCAGGTCCCCTCTGAGTCTTCTTTCTCTTCCTCCCCCAGAGTGGATCAGCATTGATAAGGATGAGGCAGGAGCAAAGAGCAAAGTCCCTTCTGTGTCTCGAGGCAGCCAGGATCCCAGGTGAGCTGGGACTGTGCTGGGTGTCCCTTGAAGGGGTGCCTGGGGGCTTTGGGTCAGCCTCGACCTTATCTCACCCTTGTACACCCCTGGCAGGTCAGGGAACCGCAAGCCAGCCCCTGCAGAGGCCTCCTGCCCACTTTCCAAGTTATTTGAAGAACCAGAGAAACCCCCACCAACTGGGAGGCCCCCAGCCCCACCTCGAGCTGCCCCCCGGGAGGAGCCCTTGACCTCCAGGTGAGAGAAGGAACCTGTTACCCCCCACTTCATCTGTTGCTATGCTTGGCTCTCAGGGCCAGGCTGGGGACCATTTGCTGCCTGAGTGATCTGATGCCCCTACACTTATAGCCACTGTGGCCAGCCAGGCCTCCCTGAGGTGTGGCTCTCTGAGCCCATGGGAGCACAGTCATTCTTTCCTCCCGATTCTGCCTTAAAAAATAGAATTAGAAGGTGTTTTCTGCAACAGTTCCCTCCACATAAACAGATTTAGCTTAAACTTTCTGTTTGGCCTCAGCATGGGTTTTCCTTCGGTGCATTCTATGGAGCGCTCTCCTACAAGGTGCCTCATTGGAAATGCGTTTGTGGTCAAATGAGTTTGGGAAATGGTTCTGGCTGGATTCTTTTCTTAGACAGTACCAGTGCACATTAGTATTCGCAAAAGCTCTGAGCATGTGGACAGGAAGGAAACCCTTTTTCAACTCTGTTGAATATAGTTTCCCAAACTTAATGGGCCAGGAAACTTCTTTTCCACACAGTAACTATTAATACCCTGGGGAACTAGCGTTCTGTGGCTCATACTTGGGGAAAGTGAGGCTTACTTTCCAATTATATCTGAGTGTCGCTTGAACTTCAATAAAAGCTCCTAGCTGCGGTTCGGTGCTTTTTCACTCACCTTCACCTGCTACCAGTCACCTTGGTTTTATCTTCAGGCTTGAGTAAAACGGACCTGAATCCCTGGGTGAGAATCCTTAGTAGATTGGCCTCAGGTGCCTCCAGAGGCTTTCAAGATCTGGCCGGTCATTTGCATTAAAGTATTTATTGCCCTGCCTCCCACACCTGTTTTCCCTAATTTTAAACTCAGGTTTCACGAAGTCAGGAAAGATCTGAGAATCTTAGCAAGTCAGGAAAGGAAGTTCAGGGATTATCTATTCAACGATCATGTCTCCTGGATTTTAGAGGTGAAGACACCAGGGGCCAGCAGGGGAAAGTGATGTGTTCAAGGTCACACGCAGTTCTAAGAACCAGGGGCCCACAGTCCTGACTCCCAGTCCAGTTCTCTCTCCGCGGCACACATTGCCTTCACTTTGGTATCTGGGTCCTGACTTCATTATCCTGCTCCCAAACCCAGGTTGAAGGCAGAGGGGGCTCCAGAGCCGGAAGGGGTGGCAGCCCCCCCACCCAAGAACAGCTTCAATAACCCTGCCTACTACGTCCTTGAAGGGGTCCCCCACCAGCTGCTGCCCCCGGAGCCACCCTCGCCTGCCAGGGCCCCTGTCCCACCGGCCACCAAGAACAAAGTGGCCATCACAGTGCCTGCTCCACAGCTTGGGCGCCACCGGCCCCCCCGTGTGGGAGAGGGGAGCTCATCAGATGAGGAGTCTGGGGGCACACTGCCCCCTCCAGACTTTCCACCCCCACCACTGCCAGACTCAGCCATCTTCCTGCCCCCCAGCCTGGATCCTCTGCCAGGGCCAGTGGTCCGGGGCCGCAGCGGGGGTGAGGCCCGTGGCCCACCACCTCCCAAGGCCCATCCAAGACCCCCACTGCCCCCAGGCCCCTCACCTACCAGCACTTTCCTGGGGGAGGTAGCCAGTGGGGACGATCGCTCCTGCTCCGTGCTGCAGATGGCCAAGACGCTGAGCGAGGTGGACTATGCTCCTGCTGGGCCTGGCCGCTCAGTCCTTCTGCCAGGCCCCTTGGAGCTGCAGCCACCCCGGGGACTGCCCTCGGACTATGGCCGGCCTCTCAGCTTCCCTCCACCTCGCATCCGAGAGAGCATCCAGGAGGACCTGGCGGAGGAGGTGTGTGGACCAGGGGTGGCTGTCTGTGTGTACCTGAGGTTTGTGCTTGCCCATGGACAGTGGTGTCCTTTTACTTCACCATTCAGCACCATTCAGTGGTGTCCCTTCTGCCCTCAGCTGGGGGGACACATGAATGAATCAGCCCCAGTCCTTGGCTCTTCCCCTGAAGCATGTAGTAGAATGTGGCTGTCTGCGGGGCTTCTCTGCGTGGTACCCTCGGTGCTCCCCCTGACATGTGTCCTATTCCCTCAGGCTCCGTGCCCGCAGGGCGGGCGGGCCGGCGGACTGGGTGAGGCGGGCATGGGCGCCTGGCTGCGGGCCATCGGTTTGGAGCGTTATGAAGAGGGCCTGGTGCACAATGGCTGGGACGACCTGGAGTTTCTCAGGTGGGGCGGGGCTGGAGGTGGATGGGGTGGGGTTGGCCCCGGGGCGGAGCTACGGGCCCTCTAGAGCACTTCGCCCATCTCCGAGCTTCTCTTACCCCTACAGCGACATCACCGAGGAGGACCTGGAGGAGGCTGGGGTGCAGGACCCGGCTCACAAGCGCCTCCTTTTGGACACCCTGCAGCTCAGCAAGTGATAGCAGTGGCACTGCGAGGCTGCGAACTCGGCACCCCTACCCCTCCACTAAGGCCCAGCCACAGCCCTGAAGTTGAAAAGTTAGGAGGGGTGGGGCAGTACCTCTCTGCCTATTTATTGGGGATCTGCGTTCCCCACTGCCCAATCATTTGGAATGCCCTAATTAGGACATTCTGCCCTTCACCTGCCCCAGGTCTCCAGAGGTCAGTCACCCCGATTACCAAGGACTTGGGTTATTCGGGTGCTGACTTCCCTTTCTGAACTCCTTCTCCCAGTCCCAGGGGTGCCCGTTACGGTCCATTTGAGTATGCCTGGGCCCTCACTTTCACCGCTGTTTCTGCTGCCCTCCACCTGGCCTGAACCACAGGGGTCGGAGCTCAGCCAGGACCTCTCCCAACCCCCACTCTGGGGGTGTCTGTCCGGAAATGAAGGAATAGCCCAAGGACCGGGCTGGGGTTTATTTAAGCTTTTCTGTGTGGGTTTTGGGAGGGCGGGCACTGTAATATTGGGGCTGTTTGGGGGTGGGGAGAAGAATCTGGGCCATAAAGTGCTAGTTTGCTTAGTTCTCACTGTCTCCTGGTCTATACCACCTTGAGTTGTGGATGTGGGGCTACAGTGGGTTCCTTGCTGGTTGCAAGAGGGTCGGACTCCTGTAGGCAGCCTATCCCCATCCTGGGTACTCAGAAGGGTTGCCAGCATGATGTCTTCAATAAATTAAGTTTTATTTGGATTGAGCCAAACTCACCTCAATAAATTACAAGTTTTTCAAAGGAAAAGAACAACAACAACCCAAAAAAGGGGGTGGGGGAGGAAACCCCTCTGTCCCGATGTCCGGCAGCCAGCCCCCCTGCTCTAAACAGGCCTACCTCTGCACCAGACCGGTTGGGAATGGGAGGGGGTGAATTGGCAGTGGGACCCTTCTGGCAGCTTATTATCCCAACCACGACCAGTGCCGGTGGACCCGATCAGTGCGGGTGGACCAGAGGGCTGGGGCAGCAGGCTGGTCGCTAAGGTGAGGAATGACCCAGCCGGCTGCAGAGCCAGGGGAGGGAGCCAGGCTGTTACTCTACTTGAGGACCCTCAGGTTCCAGCACAGTTATTTGATCCCGTTTCCAAAGAAAGCCAAGCTGGAAGGGGTAGGGGTGGGGGAATCCCAGTGAAAAACACCCTGTTCTGCTGGGTGGGGAAGGTGAGGAGGAGAGGCCCTGACTTGGTCTCCAGAGCTGGGGAGGGCACACACCTAGGGGTCAGACACGGTAGGGGGTGGGGACAGCCGGGCACTTCCAGGCGGGCGCTCAAATGGGGAGGGACTCTGTCAGGTCCTGGAGGGGCAGGGGCTCTCTCCGGGGCAGGCCCGGAGCCTCCAGAGTCCGGCGGCTAGAAGAGATTGGTCTTCAGGGCCGGGCCAGGCTTCCGGTGGAAGGAGGACAGAACCCCGGAGAAGGGCCCGGGCCCGGGTTCCGTCGGCTGCCAGGCCTTAAGCAGCTCCGCCGCGCCTGCGCCCGGCCCCCCGCCCCCGCCGCCCGCCACGCCGGCCCACAATGGACCCTTGAGCGGCTGCGGCCCGGGGCCAGGGCCGGGCCCGGAGCCCAGGGCAGCAGGCAGCGGGCTGGGGCTCAGACGCGGGCTGGCCAGGCCGGGGGCGGGCGGCGGCGGCAGCGACGCGGTGCTGTCGGGCGTGGGGCTGCACGTGGACTCCTTGGAGTCGTCGTCCTCGGACGAACAGCGCGCCTCGCCCTTTTTGGCGCCCGCCGCGCCCGCCGCACCCTTGGCGCTGGCCGCACGCTCCTGTTTGCGGAACTTGGCCCGGCGGTTCTGGAACCAGACCTGCGGGCACAGGGGCCGGTCAGGCCGAGGCCGCAAGACGCGGGTGAACCCTCAGTCCGGAAGGGGCCGGATCAGGATTATTACCAGCAAGCGTCGGCCCCTCGGCCCTCCACCACTTGGCTCGTGGCCCCCCTCGCCTCTCCACTCACCTCTCCTCCACCTGCCTCTTCCTCCAGGTCTTCCCCTTGGGATCTGCTTACCCACGCACCCGCACCCCGCTGCTTCCAGTGTTCTTGGGTCTCCTGGAGGGAACTCTGCCTTTGCTCCCTCATCACTCAAAGCCCTGCCCCCAATTCCTTCCTTCCAGGAGTTTGCGCCAGGAGTGTCCCACGGTGTCCTCCAGCGGTGGAGAACGGGTTTTGGGCACCAGGGGAAATCTTTTGTTCAGGGTCTCCAGTAAAGGCGACCAGCTGAACATCTGTACTTGGATTTGTAAGACAGACAACAGAGTCCACCTGGGCGGGTCCTCCTGAGACGGGAGCCTGCCCAGAGCCCTGGGTTTCCTGATTCAGAGATTTCACAGCTGCAGAGCTGGGGAGGGGACATGGCAGCACTCACTGGCTTTCCCGGATTCGTCTGCCTCGCTTGGCACAGAGGCCGCCTGGGGCTCCCACTCTACTACCCACTCGGCCTCTTTCCACCTTCCCAAGCCTCCCTCTACATGCCTGGCCCTACTAAGGAGACCCATGGGAAATCGTGGGGCTGAAGAACTCAGTTTTCCTCCAGGGTCTCCCGAGGACCTCAGGTCTGCCAAGTCTTGGCCCCATCCCCTCCCCCAGCTGTCCATCCTCTCCTGCCCAACCACCTCCAGACTGCACGCTGGCCCCTGGTCCCAGGTCTCCGCCTCCAAGCTGCACCTGCCTGCCACCTGAGTGAGGCCCCTCTGTCCAGTGGCCCCCAAGTGTCAGGCACTAGCCTCCCACCTTCCTCCACGCGCACACTCCCACACACACGCAAACACGCACCTGCACGCGAGCCTCAGTGAGGTCGATCTTGAGCGCCAGCTCCTCGCGCGTGTAAATGTCGGGGTAGTGAGTCTCTGCGAAGACGCGCTCCAGCTCTTTGAGCTGCGCGCTGGTGAACGTGGTGCGGATGCGCCGCTGCTTGCGCTTCTCGTGCAGGCCCGACGGCTCCGGGAAGAACTTGTAGGGCACTAGGGGTGTGTGCAGGAGGGGGTAGCAACGAGGGTGGGGGCGTGAGGGCCCGAGCTCAGCCCGCAGTGTCCTGCCCTGAGATCGCTCGCGGTCTCCAGCCCCTGAGCCGGCCCCTCGGCTTCCTCCCCTCAGTCCCCGCTTCCTCCCCTCAGTCCCTAATTGAGCATCTTCCCTATTGCTCAGTGGAGATGGCAGGAGTGAAGGGGGACAGGGCGCAGGTAGACATGGGGCCCAAGAGCAGCAGCAAGGGAATCAGGATCTGATCCTCAGGTCAAGACTGCTCACCGGTCCTCAGTCCTCCCCGTGTTTCCTCACTCCCTCCAGTCCACCTGCTCCTCTGACTTCCCCTTTGGTGTGCTTCTACCTTGGTCAGTCTGCCCACTTGGTTTCAGGTCCTGGTCTGTCCACCCTAGCCTTGGTTGCCAGGTCTCATCAGCATCCTGAGTCTTCCAGTAACCAGCTGTGGACGGAGGCTGGGCGACTGAAACTGCCTGGCCTGGGCCCACTGTGAGCCCTGCCTCGTACTTTCTGTCATGTAGGGACTTGGCCCCCTCTACCCTGCCATCTCTCTCCCCCAAGCCTCATTTCCTCCATTCTTCTGGAGAACTTCTTCCATTCATCCCATTCTTCTCATGTGTCCTCTCCTCTTCCTTTTCTTTCTCCATCCACATCTCTCTTCAGCTTTCCCCTTTCAGACCATTCTTTCCTTTGTGCCCGTTGAAAAGGGTCCTTATTTTCCCCTCACCCAGGTTCCTTCACCTTCTCTTTGCCCTTCTTCTTCCTCCCAGGCACCTCTCTCTGTGAGGCAACTCCCCCACAGCCAGCCCCACCACTCTCCCTCATTCTCTTCCCATCCTTGTTCTCTTTTACCCCATCCAAGTCCCCCTGCCCCACAGACCGTGTTTCTGACAGTATCTCCTCATCCCTGTCACCAACCCCTGCTTAGGTCTCCATATTCTTCAGGAGTCCCCAGTATTCTTCATCTTTGTCCTACAACCCTAGTTCTCTATCTCCCCCCAATCCTTGTCTCCAACACTCCATTCCTAGCCCCATCTTCCTCATCTCTGTTGCTAATCTTCTTTGGTCCCCATCTCCCATATTTCCTGTCCCCATCACCTAGTTCTTGTCTCCATCTCCCCAACCCTCGGTCCCCATTTCTCCCAGGGTCCCCAATCTTCCCATTTTTGCTCACACCTATCTCCCCATCTCAGAACTCCATCTCTGGGGGGCCCATATCCTCTTTTTCTCACCCTATCTCCCCGATCCACATCCTCATCTGGCCAAGAGTACCCAATCTCCCCATCCTTGTTCCAGTTTTTGGCTCCATCTTGCTGGTTCTCATTTCTCTAAATCCAGGTCCTTATCTCACCATCCCTTCCTACCCCCTCAGGCCCCAATATTCTGTTTGGGTCCCAGTGGTCTTCCCAGGAAGGAAGGAGATAAGGAGATTGGGTGGGGCAGCCGGGACTCTAACAGGAGAGATGGGGATGATTGAGAGGGTCCATGAGTTTGAGGGTTCAGACTGGGACTTGGATCTAGAGGCTTGGAGATGTTGGGAGCTCATTCTGGGTTCTGCAGGACTCTAGCTGGGAGAGTCTCCAGGGGGAAAGGGAGAATTAAAGTGGCTTAGTGACCTGGACACTCTTTTCTTCCAGCAAGGGAGGGTTTTTCATTGGTGCAAGAGGGTCTGAGCACAGGCAGGATGGGTCCAAAACCGGGCAGGAGGGGCTTGATGGTGCTGGGGCTTCAAGAAGGCTTCCCTCTGGGCAGCTTAGCTGCTGCAGGAGCCCTTGCTGGGGGTCAGACATGAAGTGGGGTGGGGATAAGGATGGGGATCTGATTGGACTGAGCCGGGGGCATCTTCCAGGGATATGGGATGGAGAGGTTTGGTGGTCAGTCTTTGCAGGTGGGGAGGGGAGGACCTGGTGAGGGGCCTGGGGCTGGGCCAGGGATCTATTTCCCTGACCCTAAGAGCACAAGAAGGGGAAGGATGAGAGGGTGGGGCTCAACTCTGCCTACAGGAAGCCCGTCTTACAGGGAGGCTGAGGATCCCGCGGGTGTTGGAGGGCAAGGATGGTGGCGGCTGTGGGGGAGAGTCGCTATCACTTGCCAAATAGGGCAGGGGCTGTGGTTTCCGCAGGATTTGGAGGGAGGGTTGGGCCGGGTCTGGGCTCACCTGCCGAGTAAGGCGCGGGCTGGTGGTCGCGTAGAGCGCCGAGCGCGCAGTTGGAGGAGCCGAGCGCGGGGCAGGGCGGACCAGCCGCGGGAAAGGCGGGTCGCAGGGGGCTGTATTGGAAGCCGCCGGGCTGGCTGCAGGCGCCGAAGTCGCCGTAGGCGGACGCCTCCATGGCCGCCACGCACGAGTCGTACGAATTGAGGTAGGAGTAGTCCATCGGCCCGGGGGTCGGGGTCGGGGGCCGGGCCGGGCCGGGTCGGGTCGGGGTCGGGGTCCCCGGCCGGATGGGGGTCGGGATGAGGGTTCGAGCGCCTAGCGCCGAGGACCCGAGGCCGGCTCTGAGCGCCCGCGAGTCCGCCCGCCCCGTCGCGGCCGCCCTTCGCCCGGGTGCAAAGCAAGTGCAGCCCGGCCGGGCCCGCGCGCCTTTTAACGCTCAGGACCCCGCGGAGGGGGCGGGGCGGGCAAGCTCCGCGGGGCGGGGCCTGGGCGGCCCAGGCCCCACCCCCAGCTACCCCAGACCCCCACTCCAAAGGGTCCCCGCCACCCTCCTTGGGCTCCCGAGGTGCAGGGCGGGGCAGTGTTGGGCCCCATGCCTAGAGTCCCCATCCCGCCCCAATCCCGACCAGACCTTCGCTCTGTAAGCGCACAGGGCAAGGCTGGAGGGTCCCAACCCCTTCCCTCGGCCTCCCCACCTGCGGCCCCGCAGAAGGGAGGGGAGACAGGCCTGGCGGCGCTCCGGTGAAGAAGTTAATTCAATTCGTCCTGATAACCGAGTTATTCTGATCCAGCCCCTCGGTCCCGCCCCCAGCGAGGTCCCATCCCGCCGGGGACCACGGAGGCGGTTCAGGAGGGGGATGGAGACACGGACAAGGAAGAGACGGAGCCTGGGATGGGGACGCGGATGAAGCGAGGACACAGGGAGAGAAAGGGACAGAAACAGTGGTGGGGAAAGAGACAAGAGAGATACAGGTCACAGATGAAGACAAGGAGGAGACATGGAGGAGAGAGAGATTGGAGACAGGGGCAAGTGGGTCCACAGGGACAGAGATGGAGACAAAGCTGAAGCGCGTGCAAGAGAAAAACAGGGATGGAGATGGGGACAAGGCAGAGACAGAGGAAACAAGGATAAGAGAGAGACAGCAGGGAATGGAGAAAGAGAGTGAGGCAGGCGTAGAGACGGAGAAGGCCCCGGGGTGAGACAGGGATCGAAACAAGGATTGAGATGGAGATCATGAGAGAGGTGAGACAAAACAGGGCAGGAACAGGGAGACACATACACGGACACATACACATACACATACACGGAGGCGGTCTCAGAGTGACAAGGACAGGAACAGACGGAGGAGGAACAGAGCTGAGAGAAAAAGCCTTCGGAGAGCTGAGCCCCACAGTGGGAGTGCCCAGGGGGCGGTAGGATTGTGGTGGAGACCAGGCTGGGCTGCCGAGGGGGAGGGTCTCTGAAGCCCAGATCCTTCTATCCTGACTGGGCCACACAACGCTGCCCACACCTTCAGGGCCCAGCCTGCCTCTCCCCTCCCCCAGTTCCCCAGCTCTGTCTCCCTGCCCACCATCCCCCAGTGTGACCCTTTCTTTGGTCCCCAGCACCCTTGGCACAGAGTGTGTGTATGTGATGAACATCAGGATCAGGAGATAGGGAGGAACCAAGTGACCTCCACACTCTCTTTCAGCCTCCCCACCCCAGCACCTCTCTTTTTCTTCACCAGGAAAACTACCTAGCCTCAATCTGGACCTGGCCACAGACCTGACCCTCAGCAGATTCAGCCTCTGGCCTTCACATGGTGAGAAAACCAACACAGGATCCTTTCTAAAACAGAAAAGAGAAGTTTCTGCCCTTGCAGTTCACCTGAGGTAGATTGGACAGCTCTCCCATCCAGTCCCCAGCCTCCTCCACCCAAATCTTGGTAGGTCCTACAGATGGGAGAGTGAAGACCCAGAGGCCAGGGGAGAGTGGCCCCTTACTACCAAAGCCTCTGCAGGATGAGAGAAGGTCTCTGGGAATACCTTTCCCCAATTCCCCACTATAGGGAACACACCCACCCTCAGGTCATCCACTTCAAGGGCCACTAGCTCTTTTCTTCACACAAGGATCACCTATCCCCATCTTCTGTAACTATTCCATGCCAGGGAGGTTCTTTGAAGTGTTTTTTCTCATTACTTTTTAGGTATAGACTTCTAAAACTGGCAGCAAAACTGCTTCAATTCTCCCCACAGGTGTGTGAAGTGTACCTCTCGCCTTTGACACATTGTCTGCAGGGAGCCCAAAAAGGGATCTCAGAATCGAGAAATCGGAAGTGCTCTCCTCAGAACTGTTATGGCTCTCCATTGCCCTCAGGATCAAATCCCAGCCCTCATTCTGGTCACAATGTCCTCTTGTGCCAGTGCTCTGGCCTGCCTCCCCCTCCCCCTCACTGTGGCTTTCTTTGAAGCCCTCACACACTGATTGGTCTTGTAGTCCTGTCCTTTCTGGCTGGAATGTTCATTCCACTCCCCACCCCACCCCACTGCCCTCTACCTCCCTCAAACCCCCAAACCTGGATGACTCTTGTTTACCCATTTGGTCTCAACATGGACTTTATTGCTTCCTGGAAGCCTTCCCTTATGCCCCTAGACTCTGTTGAGGGTCCCATAATAGCTCCCTCTCTTCTGGTGACCTATGTCACCGATATTTGCAAAAAAGTGCAAGGTTTCAAGACAGACCTGTTACTTCCCAGCCCCACCACAGTGTCTAGTCCTTCCTTCTGCACACCACAGGTCTTCCCACGTTTGCTTGTTGAGTTAATGAAAGCTAAGCTGTGTGCTGGGGAATACCTGCCCTTGTTTCTGGGGATGGAATCCTCATCCTCTCAGTCCTACTCTCCACTCTCTGGAAAGGGATCATCCTCCCATCTTCATTCCCTCATTCCCCAGGGATAGGAAACTTCCTTCCTCTGAGCCAACCTTCTGGGTGAAAGAAAGTCCTCCCTCATCTGAGGAATTTGCTGGGGACCTTATCCCTTCTCCAGTGATAAAACTGAAGGAAAGGAGCAAATAAAGCTTGTAGTCAGGGCCAAGCAGACATATGAGGGGAGGCAAAGAGGCCCTGGTTCCAGCTGTCTCTGAGACCATGATCCATCCCTCTTATTTCTATGGTTTGGTCATTAAACCAATAAATTCCCCTGTCTGTCTAAACTACTTAAGTTTGGGCTTCTGACTCTTGCAACCAAAAGTTCTGACCAATATAATCAATGAATGCTTGACACAGTTGCAGGTAGTCTAATTATGGTAGTGGTGATTAGAAATGTTGCTTTAACATGCATGTTACAGGGTTAGCAGGGCAGGAACTGACCTTCCCATGGCTCAGGGTTGTGGAGCTGGAGGTTCCTTTCTCTGAAGGCAGCCATTTGCATCTGCTGATTGGCATAGAAACAGACACCGCCCAGAAAAATGCTTTGAACCCCATCCACTACTGGGTTCAAGTCTTTCAGATGGTGGAAGTGGGGGGACTTTGGGGGGCAGGCTGCAGTGTGTGTGTGAATGAATGTGTGTGTGTGTGTGTGTGTGTGTGTGTGTGTGTGTGTGTGTGTATGAGAGAGAGATCTGGGCAGGAAAGGGGGCTCCCTGAGAACTCACCATAAAAGAAGAAGGAAACAGGGAGAGTGGGCTACACTTTGCAAGGACCTCACACTCAAGAGGCCAGTGGTTGAGACCTGATGTGGGGAGCTCATCCTAACTGAAACTCCCTCCCACAAATGCGTGCACTTCTGGGGGAACAAAAGACTCTAGCGCAAAACACTGTCCAGCAATCTTGCTGTGACATGTCTGTGTTGAGCATGATGTCTTCACTTCCACAAGGGATGACAGATTCTGGATCCTGGTTGCTGGGTTTCAACTCTGCCACATACAGGTTTATGACAGAGTAAGTCGTTCAGCCTCTCTCTACCTCAGTTTTCTCACCTTAAACTGATTTATTTTAATGATTAGATGAATTAAAGTACATAAGTGTTTGAGTAGTACCTGGCACATAGTAAGCATTAAATAAATGTTTTTTTAATATACCGCTGGTGCACCACCACCGTCACACCCACATACTCCCTTCTCCATCTCACCAGCTGACTGAGCCCTGTGTGACTCACAGACCCAGACCACACTCTGATCAGGCTTCTCTGATTTGTTATACCTGATACCTGGATAAAGACTCTGGACATAAACCCTTATCTTTGCACCACACCATCCATCTCTACCCTCAAGATTTCAGAGGCTGTCAGGGCCTAGCAGAATTACCCAGCCTGACCTCTTAATTTTTGCAGAGGAAGAGGCTGAGGCCCAAGGAGTGGTCCTGTAGAAAGAGTTAAACTAAAAACAGTGGAAGTGTGTCAAAGTGAGAGGATTCCCACCCCTCCCCAGCCCCCCAGAGGGAGCAGCATACCAAAAGGAACCTGAGGAGGGTATTTTCCCTTCTGCTCTGACACTAACTTACTCTGAGCCTAGATGGTGGAATTGCCATGAGGATGGGTGAGGAAGGACCCATGTTTTAGAGAACTTTTTCTGCCTGTGGTCACTTGGAGAATGGTAGCCTGGGAATTCCAAGGTACCACCACCTTATTCCCACTTCTACAAGTACTCTCTGACCTTAGCCTCCCCTCAGAACTCTGAGCAAGGCTTACCTAGGCTCAGTAAGTGGCCACCATGCTAATTTATTAAGCCAGTGCCCTCCTTGTCAGCCCTTCTCTGGTATGGGGAAGTGGCAGGAGCAGTGGCTACTCCTTACCATGGAAACTCATCTTCTCACCCTCTGAAGCGATATCCTCGTGTCATATATTACATAACCATGACTGAATGCCAACTGTGATCAGACATTCATGTCTCACTTCTTTATTTTTTTTAAAGATTTTATTTTTTTATTTATTTGTCAGAGAGAAGAGCACAAGCAGGCAGAGTGGCAGGCAGGGGCAGAGAGAGAAGCAGGTTCCCCGCTGAGCAAGGAGCCCAATGTGGGACTCTATCCCAGGACCCTGGGATCATGACCTGAGCCAAAGGCAGACGCTTAACCAACTGAGCCACCCAGGCATCCCCATGTTTAACTTCTAATAAGGAAGGGACTTTATCTATCAGTAGAAAGTTAATGCATTGTCAGGTCCTGCTTGAGGACTTTTGAACTCCCCTCCACCCTATTTATCTACCAATTCCACAAGCATCCTTCTCCCAAATCCCTCTTCT